GCCTGCGTGTCCAGAGCCTGTGCTCTGCAACGGAAGAGGCCACAACAGTGAGAGGCCCACGTACCGCAAAAAAAAAAAAAAAAAAAGAAATAAAGAAAAAGAAAAGAAAACAAACAAAAGGCAAAGAGTTGATCATTAAATCCAAAGCTGTGACAAGACCAAAACAGACAGACAAACATTTGGCAAGCCTGATTAAGGTAAACAGATATAATGGTCAAGGTGGTTGACTCTTCAAAAAATCATTCCACCTCAAAATGATTAAGCTAAAGTAGGTTATTCGCCTTCTAGTGATTGATTTAGAAATGGACATGTGACCCATTCCTGACCAATATGATGTGATGGGAAGATTGCTGGAGAAAGGTTTTCTCACTCTTAAGAAGGAGACACATAGAAGAAAGAGTTAGTCCCTTCTTCTTACAGATCTTTGGGAGTGATGCCTGCAACTGCTATAATCATCATGCTGCTAGGCCAAGGGCAATGCCCAAAGGATTGTAAAAAAGCGGATCCAGAGTCCTGATGCACTGGAGACACCCTGTCTCTGAACTTTTTGTTGTGTGAGATAATACATTTCCTTATTGTTTAAGCCAAGTTGAATCAGATTTCCTGTTATTTCCAGCGGAAGTCATCTGACAAAAAAGCAAGCAAGACCGAAAGCTAAGTACGAGAGGGGGGATGTAGGTACAGACACAAATTATTACCAAAAAATAGAAGAAAATGCAGTGTACAGCTGCATACCAATAAAATGGATGATTTTCTAGGAAAGTAACATTTTTCAAATTTGACTCCAAAAGAGATAGAAAAGGCTGATCAGACAAATAATGACAGGAAAAAAAGTTTCTCAAAGGTCTATCCTAAAAAAGGTATCAAGCCCATAGGATATTAGCGGGGAATTCTATCAAGTCTAAATTAACTGATATAAAAGGAAGTTGAAGGATCTTAGAAACTATAAGAAACAGGGCCAATTCAGGGCTGTAGGAAGCTAGTCCCATCTGGGCAGTGCCATTGGGATGAATGAACTTCACTTGGTTTCAGTCATAGTGTCACTCTGCTCAAGACTTAAATTCCAGGGAAACAGCTCCTGATTGACCCAGTTTGGGGTGCATGTTCTCCTCTAAAATCAGGCATGAAGTCAGCCCACCTACCCACTTGGACTGAGGGGAGGTAGAGCTATTTAGCCAAAGGGAAATCAGGCTCTGTTACTGGAATCAGGGGAAATTCATGCTGGATAGGAACACTGTCCATTATAACTGGATTGGCAAAAATTAAAAACACTCAACATTGACAAGGGGGTCAGGAAATGGGTACCCTAATATGTCCTCCTTTGGGAGGACACGTAAACTGCTTTCTTAAAGATAATATGAGAGTATCCTTTGAGCCAATGATTCTACTGCTAGGAATTTATCCTGCAGAAATACACGTGTAGTCAAAATAATCATCCAAGAATGTTGGTCATTGAAGTATTGTGTATAACAATGAAAAAGTGCTAATATTTAAAATGTTGGTTAAATAAAATATGGCATAGAAATTGTTCTATAGAATACTATATAAACCTTAAAAAAATACTTCCATGGAAGAGCTCCATAATAAACTATTAATCATAATAAACCAAATGCATAAGCATATGTAAAGTGTGATCCCATTTATGGCCTTAAAAAAACTATAAATATGTATTAGATGCATATCAGAAAAAAAACAAATATACTCCAAATGTTCGACAGTGGTTACCCACAGAAGGGAGAACAGAATGGGGATGGGGGGGCAAGGACAAAATGGAACTCTCAATTTTCCTCTTTATACTTCTGTATTATTTGAGTTTTCATGCTCACAATGAGTATGAGTTTTTGCCTATGTGTAAAAATCTAATGTGATCCATATGCTTATACATATTGATATAGACGGGAATGTGGATTGACATCTTTTAAACCTTAGCATTAGATGCAAGCTTTTATATACAGAATGGATAAACAACAAGGTCCTACTGCAGAGCACAGAGACCGATATTCAACATCCTATGATAAACCATAATGGAAAAAAGTATTTAAAAAAGAATGTATATATATGTAAAACAGAATCACTTTGCTGTACAGCAGAAATTAACACAATATTGTAAATCAATTATACTTCAATTTAAAAATATTAAAACCGAAAAAAACCACTTAGCATTGATTGTTTCTGATTTGTGAATTTATAGGTAATCTTAATTATCCTTTTTGCTTATCTGTATTTTAATTTTATTTTAAAAATTAGCAGAGTAAAATAATTTACTTATAAATAAGTTGCTACCATGTAATGTATAAATAAAGGGACATACATGGTTACTATAAAAATGGGCATGAGTATGTGAACAAGAAAATCGCAAAAGAAGAACTATGAATGGCTAATACTCTTAAACGCTCTAATTCTAAAGCATGTACTTTGGCATAAAGTAAGCCCCTCAATAACCCAGTAGTTGCAATTACTATTCCTTATTATTATAACAATATGTGAGTATGAAATACAATATGTATTATAGAAAGCTATGGAAACTACCCAACAAAGGAATCCTGATGGCAAGAATGTTGCACAGTGAAGCTCTTAGAGTCCCAGGAAAAGGAGCCCTCTCCAAGGGCACCAACCAAACTCCCAACGAAGCTGTCAGTCACGTTTCTAAACTACCGGGAACTTCTCTGAGAAGTTCACATCCTTCCTTCTGTTAACTATAACAGGAGAACAGCAGGGCAGAGTCAGCAGTCTCCACTGAGGACTCATCTGATTTGGCTTCCTGAGAACCGGTGTTTATTTGCCATGGGAGGAAGGGGAAGGAGACATGAAAACAAGAACACACATTCATTGGAAGACGGATATTCAGTTTTTAGAAGAGGGGTACTCGTCCTACACTCCAAATCGTTTCTCTCCCTCACTTCCTACCCATTACTACCTTCCCAAGATTCTTACCATTGAAAAGAAACAGACCCCAAATCAGTCTACACTCCAACCGGTACAGCGTTTAAAAGGTAATGTTGTTAGTGTAGTATTTTATTATAAAAGTAATATATGATCTGTACAGAAAAATTAACAGAGAAAATGAAAAGCACCAATAATTCCACCACCCTGAAACAATCACTTTTAATATATTGGCATATGTTAGTCTATCTCAACATTTTTGAAATCATACATACTTATCTAATTTTTCTCACGTAACCTGTAACATAAGCATTTCCCAATCTCTTAATAAAGGTAATTTTCACTGGCTTTGTGGATGTATAACAGAAGAGTCCTGATGGCGAGAAGTGCTGAAGCACAGAAGAAATCAGCAGTCAGTTATCTGAGACCATATCGTCTGTGGCTTTCAAAACAGGGAGCTTCAGGATTCACATAGATAACCCTGGAAGAGCCATTCCCCTCTACAACTGCAGCAGCCTCTTCTCCTTCAGAGGAATTCAGGACAGAAGACACCAGATCTTGGCCTCTCTGATTCTCTTCCCCAAGTCCCAGGCAAGACAATGAAAACTAAATGTGGTTCTGGTAATCCGACGACTCTGTTTCTTCCTCTGCAACTTCCGGATACGAGAGAAGTGAATAGGTGACTGTATTCTCAGCCTAGAGACAGAAGAAAGGAGCAATGGGGATCCACAGAGAGGTCACAAGAATGAAGGCAACAGAAGAAGCGGCAGGGGAGAAGGAGAAAAGGAAAAGCAGGTGGCTGGGATGACTCACCTCCATTTTGGCGGCCTCTTCAGCATCAGTGAGATTGGCTGTGGGCAAAAAGAACAGAGATCAGCAGGGGGCACTGCCTACCCGTGCTGCTGCTTGAGGCCCAGACCAGGCTTGAGGCGAGGACCACTGAACCCCAACTCAGGCCTGCAGGCCAAAAGCTTCATCCCCTACCCACCCTTGGTATCCCAGACATGGCCTCCCGCACGGGCCACACTAGCAGAGGGAGGCGCTCATTTGTGCTGCACTCGTTTCAGAGGATCACTGAGTTTTCCTCAAAGCAACCAGGCAGCTTCGGGGATCTGAGATATACTGGGGAGGAGATGGGGGTGTTGAGTATTAGAGTGAAGTAATCCAGATGTTTGCCAGCCACAGATGGTGGCCTTTCCACATTGGCCAGATGTAGTATATCTTTGTTGGGACTTTGAAGAATCTGACACTCCCTGCTCTCATAAGGAAAGCAAGCATGAGAGTGAGAGTGAGCAAGGGAGGCTGGAGGGAAGGAAAGAAGGAAGCAAGCAACCCAGCCAGTACTCTCCCTGGTAAATATCTAAGACACAACCAAATGTCCTCATGTTTTTGCCAATAAACTCACTTTGCCAGTGCGAAAAGCAGCCTCAGTAACTGCAAAGCAGCATTCCTCAGGAAGTGGGGAGGGAGTCTGAGACAATGCATCTAGTGTCTTCATTCATCTCCAGGACACAATGAGTCCCTGTGTGCCATGCTCCAGCTTCTGGAACAAACCACGTCCTGAATTCTCCTTCTAATGCATACCTCAACCATCCCGGCAACTTAGCTGTGCCTTTTGGGAAACCATCAGCCCCAATGCCTTCCTGTGAAATAAATGCCTTGTGAAATATATTTATGCCAGTGTAGGTAGAAGCAAACATCAAAATGGCTAATCCACTCGTGTTTGCACTTTTCTCTACAGCACTTTGGCCCTGGTGAAGACTCTGGTCCATATCCCCATTTGGCCTGGCCACAGGACATAGGGGCCTTGCTCAAAGCACAGCCGGACAGCTGTGCCATTTTGCTCAAGCTCTCAAACCTGTTGGCTCTGCTCTGAGTCATACTCCAGCCATCTGAGGTGGAGTCCTCGAGGGCTTCCTTTTGCTGTCCGTTTCTGCTGTCTGGGAGTCCCCAGAGAAAGCTCCAGTTTCCTTCGTGCTCTGACTTTAACTGCACTCAGGAAGTCGCCTGGAATATTACTGCTCCTTTAACACATTCCCACTTGGGCCAGGGCTTGGATGGTCACTGACTCTCAGAATGTCAGGCCTGGAAGGGCTTAGAGATCACCCAGGCCAGCCCACTCATCTCCTCAATGAGGTGACTAAACCCCAAGAGGGGGAATGACACTCAAGATTCCATTTTATGATAGTGACAGAGCTAGGGCCAGGCCTGCATTTTAATAAGCCTACACGAGTGGGCATTAGAACCAAGCTTTGCCCACAGAGTAAAGCCCACTAATGCACGTAGTACCCCAGAACTTTCTCAGGCCAAAATCTCCTCTTAATGTTCCATTAAGAGCTGAGCCCTGTTACCCTTACCCAATCAGTCCACTGAGACAGACTCAGCAGCAAATCTAGGTTTTATTCCTTAGGGCTCTTTCTCCTTTCCTCTAGAATTTTATCCCCTTAATTCTATTTGCCTTAGTCTTACAGCGTCTAACCCCAGTCCTCTGCCAGCTCTTCCAAAGCTCCACAGAAAGACCTAAGTATCTCTGATGTCCTGCTCTGGAAAAATCCCCAGCAGTTCTGACCCCAGAAACTCGGACAAGGCCCTCGCCTCTCTGTCTAGGACAGGTGTGCATCTTCTCCTTGTCTCCAGTCAGGTCCTCTTTAGGCCCAGGAGTTAGTCTCAGAACTGACCAAGAGATTTGAGCCCCTGCCCTCTGCCCACTGCCCCCTCCCTCTCCTGCGCTCCCAGCAGAACTCACACAAGCAGCTTCCTGATGCACAAGGCAGGGTGTCATTGAGCCCCCAGAGGGGGAGCTGCACTCACCTGGTTCCTCAGGGAGGGTCTCTCCCATTTCCCTGCGCTCAAGGGCTCCTGGGAGAGCTAGGAGGGGCACATAGGAGGTTAGTAGGATTATGGGGTACGACCTGAGTCTTCAGGACCAAGGACGACCAGAGGCAAGATTGGGTTAGAACCAACACACACCCTTCTTCCACACAGACACCGTCTCTCCTCCCCACTGCCCAGGGACTGCCCTAGCCTGTAAAAGGGCTGGTCTAGAGAGCCGTAGGTTGGCTAGGTTAACAGTAGGGACTCCTGGGACTGTCAGAAAGGCCATTCTATTGCATCCTTCTTAAGCTTGCTCTGCCTTTTAAAAAACACCCCTTTCTCCCTCGCGGTGTCTCTCCCTGAATCTCTACGTTTACTTATCATCAGTAACTGAGGTCTTGGCTATGAACCAACTGCAAAGTGCTTTGTGAGGTATTAGCAGTATTATTTTCTCTTTGTCAGTGGCTCTGAGTCTTTTCTCCCTTTTACTTTCTCTGTATCTGGATATCTTTAGCGCTTTCTCTCACCAGCAAGCTAGCTTTTCGGTGTTATGAATCGTGACCATTTGCTTGTTAGATTTGTATGGCACCTTCCCTTCTCTCTCGGCTCTTTTACGTTAGTTAGTACCATGGGGGAAGGAGGCTGCTTTCCAAGAGTTGAAGCTCTTCAGCTGATCAGTCAGTGAACAAATGTTTATTGACCATCTTGCTGCGTGGCAAGCATGTGCTAGGTGCTGGCGGGGGACGGACGGGGGAGAGCGCAGAACAAGGAGACGTGGTTACTGCCCTCCTGTGCTCTTGCCAACCCCTTTGGAATACAGCTTAGTTCTTCAAAGGTAGCCTACGTGGATTCCATGACCTGGAATACATCCTTCTGCCCTGCTTCATCTCTCCTTTTTTTCTGCCTCGTAATTTATGGCTTCAATGGCATCAAACTGCCTACAGCAACCTCCTTACTCTTCCATGATCCCCATCCTAGCCACAATGCTTCTCATTTCCATGTCTTGGCCACCATGCCTGGAATGCTTTTCTAGTCCTCTTTGCCTGGTTAACTGCTACCCTCAAACATCACCTCCTCCATAACGATAATAACTCATACTATGTGATGTTTGCTGTCGGCTAGCTGCCGACTCATTCACCCTCATAACCCTGTGAGGTAGGTTCTATTCGTGGCCTCATTTCTCAGATGAAGAAACTGAGGCACAGAGAAGTTGAATGTGATGAGAAAAACAACTTTTATTTTCCTGAAAAAACAACTTTGTTTTCCTGAGTTGCTGCCTAGGCATTTTACAGTATGATAACCTGCTTACACCCAGAATCGGAACATTTGAGATAAGGACTTGAGTTTAGGATTCCCGCCATAAGTTCTCGCTTTGCTTTTCCTGGGGCACCTTTTAAAATAACCACTTAGAGTTAAGCCCGCAAAATAGTGTCCTCCACCCCAATCACCTTATAAGTAGTAGCTGCTTGCTACACTGCTCTCTCTCTCCTGCTCACCCATGACCGGGGACAGAGGACTGCCACCCCCTTTCCCATTTCTGGGATCTGTAAGTAGCAAGTCTTGTGATTCTATTTCCTTTGCGCGAGGGTACCGAAACTGTACTTTCAATCAAAATGACCCCGGGGTTTTCACTTCCCCAATCTGGGAAGTGAAATCAGATGCTGAGGGAGCTGCCAAGCCCATGTGGGTGGCTTGTGCCTCCTCTTTCAGCAGGTCATGATCTGCATATTCTTAAATTAATACACCAACTCCATCTTCTCAATATATGGCATAACTCACCCAACGTTATCCGGCTGGTGAGCCGAGGAGCAGGGATTTAAACTCAGGCAGTCTGGCCCCACCAGGTGTGCTTCAGTCACGACACAACACTGCATTACTGTGAAGCCTTCTCTAACTGCCCCGGCCCATGCCGGGGTGCGCCAGCTCTTCTGTCCCCCGTCACAGCCTTTGCATTCTCTAATACTGGTCTTATCCCCTCTAATTATACTGATCTATTTGCATTTCAGTCTTCCCCACAATATTATGAACTCCCTGAGGGCAGAGACTGAACTTCTTTATCCTGGCATCATCCACAGAGTCTATCACAGTGCTTGACACATAAGCAAGTTTGTTCAGGCCTGTTAAATGAATGAATGAATAAAATATGGGACTATATTCAAATGCTAAGGATTCTCTAGCCCAAAGATAAGGGTTCTAGCAATGTTTGGGGTTAGGGCCTTGACTAAGTAGGAACTGATAACAAGAGGGACCAAGGAGAGGCACAAACCTGAAACCTTCTTTCGCCTGAGGCAGAACCAGGCTAGTATGGCACCAGCAATAGCCATTGCAGCAATCCAAGCGACTACAGCCACCGCTATCGTCACCGACAAGGAGTTGCTCAAGCTGGACCCTGGGGAACACAGGCGTCAGAAAAGGCAGTACCTGTCCCTGTCCCTCCTCCAACACAACACTCACTTCCCCCCTCTACCTCACCTGCACAGGATTTCTGGAACTGGGCTTGTGCCTCTCCCATACCCACGTTTCTCTGCTAATCTAATGAAGGCACGCTGTTGAGTGTGTAAGGCAGAGGGAAGGGCTCCTCTTAGCCCTCGGGGATGGCAGGGAGGGTGGACCTGACGCCTCCACCACTGTACCCAGCACAGCCTTGAACTGTCAAGGACATGCCATGCCTTTGAGAGTGAATGGACATATCAGGAGACATGAGAAGAAATTAGGAAAACCTCAGCTCTTAGGAATGTCCAGGCGCTTAGAGAACTTCTGCACCAATGAGAGAGCTCTGTTCCACTGCTGGGCTTGGTGTGATGGGGCCTATATTTCAAAGAGGAACAACAGCCTTGTCACCTATCACCTGGAAGCTGAGGTCTCCAAGCTCTGGCCAGTACTTAGCAAGGTGCCATGCCCCTGCCCTTTGCCCCAGAGCCCAGGTTTGCTGCTAGGGCATTTCTCAGATCTCCCTGTAGGTCCGTGTGATCTTTTACTCCTAAATGTCTAACCCGTCTTCTCCCCTCCTTTCATCTGCACAGAGTTCCCACCTTGGACAGTGATGGTCACAGGCTGTGATGAGTGCACTGTCTGCCCGATATACCCCGTGCAGTGGTACTCGCCACTGTGACTGAGGTTTGCTTGTGGAATAGAGAAGATGGAATGCAGATGGGAAAATGTCTTGGATTTTCCATTCTGGAAGAATATGACCTTATACAGAGGGCTGTTTTTCCAGCTGTGGCACCTCAGCATGATGGGCTCCCCGTCCTGGAACACGAGGCTAGGGGTCTGGAGCAGCAGCCAGTCTGAAAGACACAAAGAGACCCCAGGACCCAGGAGGTCTTGACTCAGATCCGAGACCCAGACCATCCTTACTGGTGGGCCACTGTGTGTGGAGGGAAGAGCTTAAGTTTGGAATCAGACACCCCTGCTCTGTAATTCTGGCTCCATCATGTACGAGCTCTGTGATCTTGGGCAAATAATTTAACTCTTCTGGGCCTCTGTTTCCTCGCATGTCAAAAGAGTCACAATAATACCATTAGCTATCTACAGTAGTTCCTGGCACATAGTAGGTGCTCAGGATATGCTTGTCTTCCTGTTCCTGTCCTGCCCAACAGGCTTCTTTCTGCAGGAAGGAGACAGGAGACCCAGGAGTACAGTCCCTTCCCTGAGGGAGGGAGGGAGGGAAGGACCCAGTCTGACATAGGAGACAACATGTGGGGGGAACACAGCAGAGTCGAGTGTCTTTGGGGAAAGTCACGGACATCTAACAAATATTAGCTTATTTGGTGCATGTTAGTAAACGTGGAATTTCACTTCAGCAGGGACTTTGGCAGCAGTGACACAGGTGGGCCATAAGCCTGCTGTGTACTTTTTTCCCCGAGTTTCATCCTTTTACTGAGGAAAAAGATATTTAATTTCTTTGTCATATAGGGAATAGAGGCTAAGGTGGGTACTTATAATCTGACCTCAGCCCACGCACTCCTTTTTCCTAAAGCTATAGGACAGAGTAGAGTTGGAATTGGAAAGAAAGGGCAGAAAACAATAGATACGTTGGAAGGGAGCCGGGACGTGAGAAAGAAATGACAACAGCCATATGTGTGCTAGTCAACCATGCTTAGCCCCTTCAGCTCGGAATGATGCCAAAAAAGTCTCTACACTGGCTGCTGAGCCTGCCACAAATGCAGGTGAAAATGTTCAATACTGAGGGAGTGACAACGAAGAGAAAACTCTGGGCCACGGCCACAGTGGGACAATCCAGAGGGAAGGTGGGGAGCACCAGATCTTGCTACTTGGGTCACACAAGCGAGAAAACCCCACCCCTCCCACTGGGGAGGCACCCCTGCGTTCCACCCATTTCCTCCCATACCATCCTGTGTATCCCTCCGCTTGAGGAACTCAGGTCCTGGCTAGACATTCCACTCCAGGATTAGGTGAGCAGTCCTGGTTCCCTAGACTGCTTCTTTTATTAAAGTTGGATTGGGGTAGGTGGGAATGCTGAGAATTGTGAAGTGTTTTTTTTGTTTGTTTGTTTTTTGTTTTGCGGTACCCGGGCCTACTCACTGTTGTGGCCTCTCCCGTTGCGGAGCACAGGCTGGCGGACTCTCAACCACTGCGCCACCAGGGAAGCCCGTGAAGATTTTTTTAAACGAAGTAGAACCCGGAGAAAATGCCAGAGCTGCTTCCATGTAGCGCCAGCAACCAATTCTTGCACTTCTCCTCCCTGTCTGGGTAATCGCCTCGACTGGAGGTGCACATCATCAGAACAGCACTTTCTTCTCAGCAAAGGCTCTACTGGCACCAGGTGGTAACCTGGACAGTGACAGTGTCAGCCTTAGGCTGGTTTGTGCAAGAGGGCCACCTTAGGTCTCCTCGAGGACAATTTCTTGGTGCAGATCTTGAGGGCGGGGCCCAGCTTCGTGTTCACGGCACTCACGAGGTGCTCTTTAAGCCAAACAAGGGCCTTTCCATCCATCTCCCGGGAACAAAACTCCTCTGCAATCTCCTGGAAGCCTTGTAGAGACGCAGTAAACTCATGCACCTCCTCTGCACTCCAGTGGCTAAGATTACTGGACAGGAACACAGGGTTGATGCCATGAATCCTGGTGTAGGCACAGCTGTATGGAGCTTCCTGGGTCACATTCTCCACGTCCAGCTCTCACCGATGAAGGCCCAGGGACACTGGAGAGAGTTCTTTAGCATGACTGGAGTTCTCTGAACCCCAGCTAGAGTCCTCTTGACCCCTGTGGCACTTGCCCTGGATCTTAGCATGGGTGACGGCAGAGGAGCTGCAGCAGGGTCCATGTTTGGGATGCAGGCAAGGGCTCCACCACTCCTGTGCCTTTCCTGGGATAGCTCCAAGCACCACCTATTCCTGAGGAGGGCCACTGACCCAAAGGCCCAGGTGGGTGGCCACTTCTGCCTGGACCCATGTACCTTCGAATGCTCTTCCCGCTGCCCCCACCAGCTGGACTAAGGCTAAAGAACTGGCCTGAGGCCCCAGAGGGAGCCTGAGCCACAGCTAGGGCCTGGCTAGAGGCCTGGGGGAGGCTAAACAGGGGAATAGCTTTCTGGGTGGAGCTTTGGGCTAAGCCTGTTGCTCCTCAGTGCCAAGTTCTCTACCTAAGCTGCATCTACATGGCCTCCAGCAGCCTGAGCAGACAGCCCCTCCTGCTGGACTACTGCCACTGCCCTAATAGGCATCAGGATGAGTTGAGAAGCTAGAGGCACATGCAGGGCCAAGGTCTGGTTTACCTGGAATAGGTTTCCCAGCTGTGGTCTTAGATACATCTGGGCCTGGGACAGGTTGGGGGGGAGGAGGTGGTGTTCCCCAGTAGCACAGATTGGGTCAAAGTGGTAACACTGGGAGAGTTTACTCCGGGATTGGCTGGTGAGTTGGGAGGCTGATGTTGTGGCCAGATCGACTGAGGCCTGGGTGGTGCTCAGCTGCTGCGTTGTGCTGGTGTTTGGGGGAGCTGGCCTGCTGACTGGCAGCAGTTGTGGCCACCAGATAGCAGCCAGGCTATGCAGCTGGGCCTGCTGAGCTGCTGCTAGACACAAACTGGTGGAGCTACTGAGGCCCACGGAGCTGCCCCTGCAGTGCCTGCCGTGGCACTGAGCTGTCTGGGAACGAGCGCTACCACCTGAGTAGGGACTCCCACTGGTGCAGTCGGCATTCTGTTGACTGCAGTCTCCATGACAGTGGTTCAGGGCCCCCATGGCTGGTGCTCTGGCTCCAAGCCTTCACATCTAGCTCTTCACCTATAGGTCCTTCAGGGTGGTGTCCACCTCATGTGCCAGGGTTCCTTGTCAACGCACCTGCTGGTCGGGTGGGAACTTGCGCAGTCTCGGGGGAGGGATCCCTCACCTCCACCCCTCCCTAGAGAGGCAGGAGCACTGAGGTTGAGGCCCTGCCAGGCCTCTGGGGCTTCCCTCCAGGACTGTCTTTTTCTGCTGAGCACAGAGCGTAGAGATTGCAGGCCTGGAGCTGCAGGCCCACCAGGCCTAGATACCTTTGAGGAGAATTTGAGAATTGGGTGAGGGAAGGGGACTAAGTGAAGAATAGCAATGACAATATTCATCATCACACTGCAGATTTTCTTTATGGAGAACGTATTTCTTGCCAGCAGCTTTGGAGGATCATTGATCTGTTCAGCAAACATTTATTAAGCCCTGTCCCGTGCCTGGGGCTGGATATAAAAGGTGGTTAAGACACAACTTTCACCTCAAGTTGCACAGAGGGCAGGGGGGCAGGGAAATGCTGATTCCCACCGGGACCTGATGAGGGAGGCAGTAGTATCTCCACTGAGCTGATGAGGAATCTGAAGCTCAAAGGTAAATGAAATCATCATGTTTACATGGCTATAATTTCCAGGGCTAGCATTCAGTTGTGGCCTGTCTGTGCATTTGACTCTGCCATAAAAATGGAAGGATTTCTATGAATTAGGGATTTCCTTCTGCTTCTCTCATACCCAGCTGCCTGTCAGTGGCCTTGTCCCCTTCTCGCCCAGCCAGCACTGAGACAACAGAGCCCAACATATTCTGAGAAATCTCTTAGGAACTTCCACCTCACCACACATACTAAGCAATGGGGTGCGTGAAAAGGGAAATGAGTGGACAAAAACCCCTTCAAACAACTCACAGCCATGCTTCCCAGTAAGCAGGCAATTCCCGTTTCCGAAAAACCTCTGCCATGTAAGCAGATTTCTTCTATCCTTGTTCTCCCAGACTCTCCCAGGCCTTCCTCCACTGACCGGAAATCACATCCAGATGCACAGGGTCGCTGAGGCTGGTCTGCTCTCTCTGACACCTGTAGTCTCCGCTGTCATTGCTGCGGGCCCTAAAGCTATAGCTGGGCTGGTTCTGCCTCTGGATGAAGCTCCCATTATGGAACCACAGGGTGAGGTTGCCTTCATACAAGTTGGTCCCCTGACACATCAGCGTCACGTAATCCTCCTTGAGCACATTGATCCACACAGGCTGAATGCTCACCACAGCCTTCGGGAGACCTGCTGAGGGGCAGAGAGAGAAGGCAGCATGAGGAAAGGGACCCCAAGGGCCTAAGCAGACCCCAAGTCTCAGATGATGGAAAACTGTGGCCATGCTGGATGCATGATGCTGGAGACATCAAGAGAGGAGCCCAACCCAGAACTGTTGTGCAACCAAAGGCAGTTCCTCCAACTCATGCAGCCCAAACAGGGGCCCCCAGGAACCCAGGTTCTCTCAGGTAGCTTGCCTCCTCCCCAGGGGAGAGGACAAGAGGTAGGGGAATGGGAGAGGGGGCAAGCAAACACACATGCACACGCACACACACACACACGCACACGCACGCACACACACACACACACACACACACACACACACTCACTACACATACATCCTTTGGGGAATCACCTTCCTCCCCTGTAAGCTGAGGCATTTGGACACTAGTGGATCAACTCTCTCCACAGCTGGAAGAAGACAAATGGGGACATCTGGTGGAGGTGCCAGGCTGAGAGTCAGGCACCACGTTTCTGTTCTGACTTCTTCCATTCTTTCTTTTTTTCTTTGGAATAAATATTTTTATTCGTATAGTTGCTGTGCAATATTATATAAGTTACAGGTATACAATAAAGTGATTCACAATTTTTAAAGGTTATACTCCATTTATAGTTTTTATAAAATATTGGCTATATCCTGTTGTACAATGTATCCTTACAGCGTATTATTTTTTTTTAATTTTAGAATTTTATTTATTTTTTTATACAGCAGCTTCCTATTAGTTTCTTTTTTCCTTAAGATGTATTTATTTCTAAATAAAAAGAAATAAATACATCTTTTAAAAAAAGAATGGAAGAAGTCAGAACAATAAAAAAGATATATTTATTATTTTTTTGGCTGTGTCGGGTCTTAGTTGCGGCATGAGGGATATTTGTTGCAGTGTGGGATCTTTCGTTGTGGTGCGCCGGCTTCTTTCTAGTTATGGCGTGTGGGTTCTCTCTTCTCTAGTTGTGGCACACAAGCTCCAGGGCACGTGGGCTCTGTAGTTTGTGGCCTGTGGGCTCTAGTTGTGTGGGCTTAGTTGCCCTGCAGCATGCGGGAATCTTAGTTCCCTGACCAGGGATTGAACCTGCGTCCCCTAGCATTGTAAGGCAGATTCTTTACCACTGGACCACCAGGCAAGTCCCCATTCTTTATCCTTTAGAATAGACCTGTCCTGACACCCAGGCACAGAGGAGTCTCTGTGGCCTCAGAAGAATAAGAAAGAGGAGAAAGGCTGTCAGGCCAGTCTAGGGAGCCCTGCATTCAGTGGCCCATGTTGAGCCCCATCCCACTACCAGTCCTGGGAGATGGAGAGGTTAGTGGTGCAGAGAAAGCAGTGCCAGCCGTGTTCATCCCAGCAAGTTGCAACCAGTGTTATCTCCTATTTGTGTCCAAGGGAACAGGCCCTGAAGCCTTCAGATACGTGCAAAGTAGATGATTTATCAATCCATGGGGTTAACCTAAGCAAATCATGTGATTTTGCATGTGGCTGAAACTAAAATGGCCTGGGTTTGTGATTTAGTTTGGAGAGAGGAAGGCAACTGAGACAGAAGACAGTTATTTTCTGTGACAGAATCTGTGAGGTCTCACCAGAACAGAAACAGAAAGGCTGTGCCCCATGGCTGCCCAGCCCTGGCTTCCCTGGGAGGAAGGGACGGAGGAAGGAGAAGGGGGCAGGGTATCTTTGTGGGAGCAATTACTCTTTCCTGGCTCTACCTCGGTCCTGGGTTGCTGGTGCATCCAGACCACCTCCAGAGACGGTGCAGGGAGCAGAGAGAGAGGGTAGCTGGGGGAGGGAGAGGATGTGGTGAGCACTTACCAGGTTTCCCAGCAACAGGAGCTGTAAGGGAGAAAGCAAAGATCAGCCTGGTGTTTAGATATGATGATTCATCATTATAAATAATCACCTCCTCGCAAATCCCCTTAACTCTCTTGCCAGTCTGTCTGCCTTACGTTCCACCTGGGTTGTCCATGCCTTTACTTCTACAGCTGTGTGTTAGTGAAATTCCCACATAAGCAGGCAGGTTGGTATCTGTAAATCTACTGTCTCCATATTCAAAAGGACACTAAACTGCCATTCTGACACTTTTCTCTAGTACGTTTGGTCTGTGGCTCTTGGTAGGGACAATCATTTTTTCCTCAGTCCTCAAACTTTCCAGTCCTCTGCCTCCAGTCCTGTCTCACTCAAAGATGATGCCTTCCTTTATGCTTCAAAGAGAAAACAAATGCAGTTAGACAGGTCTCACATCTTCCCCCAACTAAATCATCTAACCTATTGCATCTCTATCCATCTTCCTTTCTTGGTTTTCACTGGGGACATCTCTCCTCCTAACTGTGGTCAGTCTCTGTCCTAGGTCACATTCCCTTTCACCCGCTCAAGGATTTTCCTCTCTCTGTTATTCCCTTTCCCCTCTGCCTCACCCATTTCTCCATCTCAGCTGGACCTTTCCTATCAACATAAATATATTCCAGGATCTTTCACTGAAAGGAAAAAAATCTCACTTGACACCACACATAATTCCAAAATTATTTTTCTGCTCCCTTTTCCAGCCTGATTTCTCAATTCTTTTTCTACAAAGGCTGTCGTCATTTCTTCGCCTTCCAATCACTGTTTCATTCTCTGCAATTTGAACTCTGCCCTCACCAGTCCACTAAAACTTTTCTTGTCAAAATCACCAATGATCTCAATGTCAAATCAAGTGGACACAATTCTATTTCTCTCCCAGGTTCCCCCATATAAGTGTATATCTTCACCATCTGCCCAGGTACTCGTCCCTGAAAATTGCAAGTCCTCTTTTATTCCTCTCTCCCTCCCAAACCCCATCAGCCTTTGCACCAGTAAAGTCGTGATCATCCTGCTTCCAGTTAGTTCTTGAATGCGTCAGCTTCAGTCCATGTCCACACTATTTTAGGTCACCAGCAGCTTTCTCCCATCTCCTAACTTATCTCTTCCCTTATTTTGTTCCCCCAACAATTCATTCCCCACAGAGAAACTAGAGTTATTTTTAAAATAATGAATCAGATAATATCACTCTCCTGCTTACATGCCTTCAGTGCTCTTCCTTTGCTCTGAAAATAAAATGTAAATATTTACAAGGCCACACCTGACACAAGCCCTGCTCACTTGTCCAGCCTCATCTCGAGCCACACTTCCCCTACTCATTGAGCTCCAATAACACCAGACCTCTTCAAACTTGGGGCTTTTCTGTATGCCCATCCCTCTACTTTAAACCTGCTTCCTTTGTATCTTCAAATGGCTTAATTCTTATCATGCTTCAGGTCCTAGCTTAAAAGACACTTCCTCAGAAAATTCTTGCCATATCATCCTGTTAATGTAGGCTGTTCTCTCATGTCCCCCACAACAAGTGTTCTTATCAGAGTATCCTGTTTACAGCTTCATTGCCGTTTTCCAATTCATATTTATGCACTTGTGTTCCTTTATTTACTGTTTCCATCCCTCAGTAGAATGTAGGCTCAAAGAGGGCAGTGGCCATGTTAATTTTATTTGCCAATGCTCTGGAAATCATTCACTGAGTCCATCTAGGTGGGAGATAAGAGAGCCCAAAATTGCGTTGACGATGGAACGTAAAGATGAGGACACGGGCATGAGAGAAAGTTAAGAGGGAGAGAGAACTTGGCACTTGAAGAGATATGGGGGTCTTGTAAATGGGTGGCTAGGAAACACATTAGCTGTGCTCACACAGATATAAATGTTAGGAGGAGGAGAACATTTGTGCGGGGAAGATGAGAGCTGGATTGTGAACGTGTTTTGTTTCTGAGCTGACCAATCAATTTGGAGGTCTCCAACCAGCAGGTGGAAATATGAAATTGTACTTGACACAAACAAGAAAGACAGGTGTGGACATTACTGACACAGAAGTGATAGCTGAAAAGCAGAGTGTGCCGGGCTGACAATGTGGCCGTGCAGGGAATGGGCAAAGAAGCAGGACTAAGAGAAGGAGGAAGAGAAGAAACAAGTAAGAGATGAGAAAAGTAGAGAGAAGGCACCTTCCACTTATTCATCCAACAAATATTAGTGAACACTAAGTATGTTCACACTCAGTATAATACTGTCACTGTGGGGGAGGCAAAGACCTTGTGCTTTAGGCCAGGAAGGCTGTCTCTCTTGTTCAGTGATAAATCTCCAAGTCCTAGAACAGAGTCTGCACAGAGCATTTACTTAATGTTTAAACAAGGCAGTTTGTGGAATCCTGGAAAGCAGAGAATGTGTATACACACTGCCTGGCTCTAGATGAAAATCTACTTTTAAGGGTACAATTGGAGCTTTATAAAGTAGGCAGTGGGGCTGCACTGAAGGCATTTATGGAGTACAGAGACTCAGCCATAGCTGTAGTGGAAGAAATCATGGCCTCAGTGTGCAGCATGGATTCGGAGAACACGAGACAGGACAGTCAAGACTGGATCAGAACGTGGTGTAAAAATTGAGTTACTGGGCTTCCCTGGTGGCACAGTGGTTGAGGGTCCGCCTGCCGATGCAGGGGACACGACTTCGTGCCCCGGTCCGGGAAGATCCCACATGCCGCGGAGCGGCTGGGCCCGTGAGCCATGGCAGCTGAGCCTGCGTGTCCGGAGCCTGTGCTCCGCAACGGGAGAGGCCACAGCAGTGAGAGGCCCGTGTACCGTAAAAAAAAAAAAAAGAAAAAAGAAAAACTTGAGTTACTGAGCGATGAAGACCTAAATACGGCGGCCCAGATGAGAATGGAAAAGACGGAGTCAATCTTTGTGACTTAGCAAAAGGGGCAAATGGATAAAAATTCCAAAAGTCTCCCCCAGGAGTCTTGTCTAGGCATCACATTGGTATCACTATAGCAGAGGTAGGGAAGCACGCCACTACTCCAGGCCTGAGCTTCTCCATACGAAAAGTTGGGTAGTTCAATGCTCCTTTTTCATGCTATTCTGCTTCAATCCATTTCATCCTGCTCATGGGAGGATACTCTCTCTTCCTCACCTCCACCTCCTGTCCCAGTATCATCCAGCATTGAGGGCCAAGGCTCCCAGAGCTGAACAGATTTTACTGTCGATCATAGTACATAACTTGGAAAGTGGCTGCATGTCCTCTGGGACCATACTGAAGCAGATTTGAGGGTAGATACTCTAGAAATTGAGCTTGGGGAGACATTCCTGGCAATAAAGGCTCCCCTGCTTGGTCTTCCCTAGACTCTTCCACCCACCAGCACTATCAGTCCCTGGTCCCTAGCTCACGGCTGAGAACATGGTCAGAAAGAAGCGCTCAATTGCAGCCTAAGATCCTGTCTTTCTATTCGATCGGTGACAGGACGTATCCCCATGTTTGTGCAGTGCAAGGAGGCATGCATGATTCCTCTGGTCCCACAACTGATTCTAGAATTGCCTGGCTTATGTATTCTCTGATCCCCATCCCCTGGATAACCCACACCCTCCTGTGCTTCTTCCCAGGGGAATCTCCTTTCACATAAAGAGAATAGGCTTCTGCTGCCTGAAGTGGTTTCAGGAGCACAGAGAACAGCCACTGCCCCCAACCACAACGTGTTCCCCCCACCTCCTATTTGCCTTAGACAGCATTAGCCCTCCCACCTAAGATATGGTCCCAGTGAAACACAATTTCTAAGGAAGGTAAACACCTTGGCCACTCATTAGTCCTTCAAGTCTAGGTCACTAGACTTTGCTCGCAGCTGGCTCTGCTCTGGGAGGTGGCAGAGCACCAGGGACTTTGGTGCCGAGTGAAATTGGGCAAAAGACTTTAAAAGAAATGAACTCTGCTGGGCTTCCCTGAAGGCTCAGTGGTTAAGGATCCACCTGCCAATGTAGGGGACACGGGTTTAAGCCCTGGTCCAGGAAGATCCCACATGCCGCGGAGCAACTAAGCCCGTGCGACACAACTACTGAGCCTCTGCTCTGGAGCCCGCGAGCTACAACTACTGAGCCCACGTGCCACAACTACTGAGCCCGCACGCCTAGAGCCTGTGCTCCACAATAAGAGAAGCCACGGCAATGAGAAGCCCACGCACCACAACAAAGAGTAGCCCCTGCTCTCCACAACTAGAGAAAGCCCGCGTGCAGCAAGAAAGATCCAACTCAGCCAAAAATAAATAAATTAATTTTTTTAAAAAAGAACTCTGCCAATTTCATAATTTGCCAAGGCCAGCAAGGTTGTCAGAATCTGATTTTCATCAGCCTGCCTTCATTCACCCTCCTGACTTTCCTGACGTGCTTCCCGCACCAGCCCTCATCCTTGCCCAGGCTCAGCCCCAACCGAAGTGCCAGCAGCTGAGTTAGAAAAGCATGCCTGCCTCTGTCCCTGCTCCACTGCCCCTCCTGGGGACCCTGCCTCACCGAGGAATAGCAGAGCCGTCCACAGTAGCATGTGGCCCAAAGGATGGCAGGATGTGCAGGCAGCTCGGTCACTCCTGGCAGCAGGGAGGGCTAGGAATGAGGGGATCCCCATCACCTCCTGGAGCGAGCAGCTTGCCTCTGACAGCCCAGCACAGCAGGCACAGACTTCTCTCGAGGCTTACAGATTCCACCGCAGAGAACAGACAACTTCTGGACTCCAAAAGAGGAAGTGAAAAGAAGTGTTGTTTTTGTCATTGACTCCGCCCCTTCCACCCTCTTTCATCTCAACTTTTCCATCCCAGAAGTTTCAGGGTTTCCTAGAATCAATCTGGCTCAGTCCCACTCCAAACTCACAGAAAATGTGGAAACTGGGAAACAGATTCTCCTCTTCCTCTGGGGCCACAGCTGGGCTCAGCCTCTGGGAGGAAGAGGGGAATAAATGGTCACCCAAACTCAGCTCAGAACCTCCCGTCTGTCTCTCTGCTTAGAAAAGGCGATGGAGGAGTGTGTCAGCAGACTCCCCATAGTTCTCCATCTATGTAGAGGCGCAGACACTGGCATCAGACTCCTCCTGAGATCGAGCATAGCGACTTGAGGCCAGCCCCCACCATTTGATTTCCTTTATTATCATAATCCTGACTCCGTTTTGGATTGTGGAACAAGGACAAAGACGTGTGTCAGAGTGGCAATAGGATGATCGTTCACTCTTGTACGCATTCCTCCAACAAATATCTTTGAGCAGCAATTAGTGCCCTGCTTCTTTATCTTTCTTACCCATCACTGTTCCTATCACTATGGCATGGTCAAAGAGCAGGGCTTTAGAGCTGTGTAAGTCTCATTTTGAATGACAGCTAGCTTCTCAGAACTACAGATTCCTCATCTGTATAAATGAAGATTAGCACGCCTGTCCTTCAAGCAGGGTTTCTCAGCCTCAGTACTATTGACATTTGGGGCCAAATAATTCTCATTGTGAGGACCTGTCCTATACACTGTAGGACGTTTAGAAGCATCCCTGACCTCTACCCACTAGATGCCAGGGGTACCCCCTAGTTGTAAAAATAAAAAGGTCTCTAGGCATTGGCAAATGTTCTCTTGGGGGCAACATTGCCCCTGGTTGAGAACCACTGCACTCAAGGTTTTTGAAATTTAAAAGAGAATTTGCGTGCTAGCAAAGTCCCTAGTGCATTGTGGGTATCCAGTCAATGCTAGTTTCCCTTTTTTGCTTTCTGTTGTCATCCTCATTGACATTTGTTCACCCTCAACATCCCCAGAACATGAGTTGCTCTGGGATCTCTCTTGCGGCCCTTTGCTGGGGCCTCTCTCCCAAAAGCTCTCTGAGGAAGCAAGCTGTAATATTCAAGGAAATGACATTGTGAAACCTGTTCTTACACCCTGTGGTCTTCAGAAACCTCAACAGCCCCACTCCTTTGGCCCCGTTCTACCCCACCTCCCAACCCCAATCTACCTCCAGCCCTTATCTGATTTTTAGGTGAAAAAATTTCTTTAACCACTGAAAAGACTCCAGTGAGCTGACATCAACACTTTAAAGGTTAATTTATATAATGGGACCCACACATTGGAGCCACCCCAGTGGACTAGACCACATCATAAATCTAAACCTAAGTCAGCCTGCAGTTAACAGGAAAAACCTGTCCAGGGACGTAACATACACCAATCACAATACTCCAACTCAGCTTTAGCTAGCTTACCTAACAGGTCCTGTTACCCTTATAAGGACCTGTTACCCTTATAAGGAAATCCCAGAAATCAGGACCTGTTACCCAAGGTCCTGATTACCCAAGGTTACTTCTTTTCACTTTTCAACCTGTTACCCAAGGTTACTTCTTTTCACTTCCTCTTTTGGAGTCCAGAAGTTGTCTGTTCTCTGCGGTGGAATCTGTAAGCCTCGAGAGAAGTCTGTGCCTGCTGTGCTGGGCTGTCAGAGGCAAGCTGCTCGCTCCAGGAGGTGATGGGAATCCCCTCATTCCTAGCCCTCCCTGCTGCCAGGAGTGACCGAGCTGCCTGCACATCCTGCCATCCTTTGGGCCACATGCTACTGTGGACGGCTCTGCTATTCCTCGGTGAGGCAGGGTCCCCAGGAGGGGCAGTGGAGCAGGGACAGAGGCAGGCATGCTTTTCTAACTCAGCTGCTGGCACTTCGGTTGGGGCTGAGCCTGGGCAAGGATGAGGGCTGGTGCGGGAAGCACGTCAGGAAAGTCAGGAGGGTGAATGAAGGCAGGCTGATGAAAATCAGATTCTGACAACCTTGCTGGCCTTGGCGAACCCAAGTCCCCTGCATTGGAAGGCAGATTCTTAATCACCGGACCAACAGGGAAGTCCCCAAGGTACACTGTTAAACACCACATTCCCCGGGACTTCCCTGGTGGTGCAGTGGTTAAGAATCTGCCTGCCAATGCAGGGGACACGGGTTCAAGCCCTGGCTGGGAAAGATCCCACATGCTGTGGAGCAACTAAGCCCTCAAGCCACAACTACTGAAGGCCATGCGCCTAGAGCCTGTGCTCTGCAACAAGAGAAACCACCACAATGAGAAGCCCATGCACAAAGAGCAGCCCCCGCTCTCTGCAACTAGAGAAAGCCCGCACGCTGCAACAAAGACCCAACACAGCCAAAAAAATAAACAAAAAAACCCAGAAGAAAACACCACATAATCCCCAACCTGGTGGCACATCCCTATTAAGCATTAATTTGGCTCTAAGTGATCCAAGGCTTAGCTACAGAAGTGGGACCCTCAAATATCAAAGAATTAAGCTTGCCACCTTCTGGCACACCTGCCTACTTTAAGTCTGATAAATGCAGTCCGAGAAGCTATAGATATCTACAAAAATGGCAACATCTTACTAAGACAACCTAGAATGGCAACGGCCATTATAGGCAATCTTCCAGTTAGACAAGATGGCTCATTTAACAGTACACTTGAAAGAGTCCTCAAATCAAACAAACAGAATGGGATACCTATTTTAATTGGTATGCCTCCAAAAGGCTTCAAGAGTCCCAGAGAGCTTCATTGAAAGATTCACCGCAAAAGGGTAATGAGAAAGTAAAGACAAGAGAGGTACCTAAAACAAAAGACTACAAGACTGATGTGACTCCTACTACTCCCCTGTCCTCCTTTATATGAGCAGCCAGGCTGCTAATCCTGTCTGAATTGCCTTTCCACTCTGAACAGACTATAGAACTGTAAACAAAAGTCTGCCAAGTTAGTGGCCTTACAGATACCCATATCTACCCTCAAAGGAGGGTCACCAAATGGCCCCTCTCAGGGTTGGTGAGACTCTGAGGGAGTCTCTGGTAAACTGCTACCAATTATTCCCTTAAACAGCCAAGGGGACACTAAAACTAAGATTAATGGAAACCCTTGTTAAATTCTGATAGATACCAGAGCTACACTCTAAATACCTCATGCTCCAGAGCCTCCAGAAGGGGTCCTGGAAAAACTGGCAGAAGCTGGTGAAGGATGAGAATTCTTACCACAGTCAGGTCTCCCAGATCTCTGTAGTACCTGGTCGAGAGAGGAAAATAAAATTTCACGTTGTCCTTTCTTTTCCAAATTCAGGCTTTTTTGATTTTGGTTTTGGGGTGCCTATTGGTTGTCAATTCTTCTCTCCCAGGGACAGCTATTTTCTTCTGTTTGTCTCATTTTGTGTTGAGAGCTTGACTTGGCAACCATCAGGTTGGGGCCCCCAAAATATGGCCAGGCAGAAACATGGGTTTGTAGTGTAAGCCCTGACAGTTTTCTTCTTTTTTGCAATACAGATGGCTGACTTAAGCTTTGATTGCCAAGACATCCATTTCAAGGGGCAGCCCTTTCAAAGAAGGCTATCAGCTAAACACAGTACCAACCACACAGGTAGATAAAGAGCCAGGCCACCTCCACTCACTGAGGCTCCTTTGTTTTAGAGATTTTGGTAGATTTAATTAACTGACCAATTGGTCTACATGGTTTTTGTTTTTTTCCATCCTGTCCTTTAAATTCCTGCTCTTATGTTTTAAGTTCACCAATAAAGAGTGAGCCCCCAAAACCCTAGGACCCACCCTCAGCCCCAATAAAAGCAGAACCCCAGCCCCACGTGCAGTCTCTGTCTCCCCATGACCTTGCTGTGTGGCCCCAGGCGTGCTGTGTAATTTCCAGGTGTTATAAGTAATGAGCCTCTGTTTTTTTCAAAGTTTCCTGATGGTTATTGCTGAAGGGCATCTGGCAGTCATTATAAGAACCACAAGAGCTGGTCCAACCACAACACTGGTTGTTGATAGGCTGAGATCAGCACAAAACAGGGTTGCACCCCATTGGCTTCTGGGGTTCTGCTGACTTTTGCCAGCTCTCAGGGAAATTGTCTAAGTCTTCTTTCTTGCGGCTATCTCTGCAAGTCACTCTGGACCTTGGGAGGGTTTGTATCTTTTGTACCCTCTTTCAGGACACCCTTGGGTTCATGGGGTTGTTCAATACTTCCAGAAATATTTACTATTTTTCCCAGCTGAAACCTGACAAGATATTTGAAAGGATTTTTTTTAGGTAGCTCTATGGTCAGAGGTCGGTCAAACTGGAAGCTGATATTCAGAGCCTGATAGGACCTTTTTTTTAAGGCCTCCTCCCCTAAGCTGAATGAAAGAAAATACTCCAAAAAAAAAAAAATCTACAAATGTAGAACATAGAGTTCTTTTGATTTGTATCTTAGTTAAAGATTTCCCTGATATAAAGAAGCAAAATGAAGATAATGTATAGTTGGATGGGTGGGTCAACGCTTTGAGATCATTCAGACTGCAACCCAATTCTTTGAGGGATTAAAAACAACTGTCCTGGGACTTCCCTGGTGGGGCAGTGGTTAAGAATCTGCCTGCCAGGGCAGGGGACACAAGTTCGAGCCCTCGTCTGGGAAGCTCCCACATGCTGCAGAGCAACTAAGACCATGAGCCACCACTACTGAGCCCTCATGCCACAACGACTGAAGCCTGCGTGCCTAGAGCCCATGCTCCACAACAAGAAAAGCCACCACAATGAGAAGCCCGCGCACCGCAACGAAGAGTAGCCCCCGCTCACTGCAACCAGAGAGAGCCCGCGCACAGCAAGGAAGACCCAACACAGCCAATAATTAATTAGGAAA